TATACAGTATTTTTATATTTATAAGTACCTTATTTTTATTTTCCTAATGCACATTCCCTTTTCTTGTTTACACATTCTTTTTCTCTTCTTTTTTTGTCTGTGCTTCTTTTTTTTTGTTCTCTCAGCCTTATCTTGTTTACTCGCTTGTCAACTCGTTTCTTTACAGAAAAGCATTGTACATACACATTGAGAGCCACTGTACCAGAGTCAAATTCCTCATATGTCCAACACACCTGGCCACTAAAGCTGATTCTGATTGTGATCTCTCTGAGGAGCTCACTTTCAGGGTTTACAAAACAATTTGCAAAATTTAAATTCCAAAAAACCTTTGCCATAAATAATGTTACTTTTTTATCAATAGTTTGTCAAACTAGCTACTCATTTTGAAATCTTCTCTGATAGCTTCTCCTCTGGAATATGGGCTGATTATTTGTACCACAAACATTTCAGATTTCAAAGATGGGATAGAATGGGCTACCCCCTAAGGAGTGAAACTCTACTGCCTTTAGAACAAAGGCTAAATGATACTATTACTTAATAGATGTGGAGATATTGTAGAACAAAAAAAGACCATAGTAAAGTATTTGTTTAAAATGTTTAATATGGTCATTGACAGTTATGAATTTATCCACTTATGTGACAACTGCTGCTAATAGTCATCATCATCATCATCCTTTATTAGCAGACTCAAGGTCCATACAAAAAGAAACAAAAGAAAAAGAAAGGATACAAAAGAAGAAAAAAAAACACAAATAAATAAATAAAAATCATAAAAGACATTTATACCAATGTTTCCACAGAGAGGATTGGTAACGTACTACACTAAAACCAGGATTAGCCAGCATCATTATAAGACTGTTCTCAGAGTTATTCACACGACAGATAAATCTGTACATCAGGTTTCTCATTAATGCCTGAAAGGTACTAACATGGACCTGTGAACACAACAGACTGGCGCTGGTGGACCTAGGCTTCTTAAGCAGAATCCTCAAGGCATCATTATAAGCAACTTTAAGTTTCTGTAAAGTAGCTACCTTATATTTACACCACAATGGGGCAGTATACAACGGTGTACAGTATGTTCTGAACAGATGAACTTTAACATTAGCAGAACACATGTGAAATTTCCTAACCAACATATTAGCTTGAGCATACAAAATGCGACACTGCCGATATATATCCTCATCATCAGAAAGCTGATCTGTAATGAAATGTCCTAAATATTTAGTTTTTCTACAGACACTCAACCTTTGTCCAGACAAACAAAAGTCTGGGAAACAAAGTTCTTTGTCCCCTTTAGTCCGACAGATCAGTACAACACTCTTTTCTGCATTATATTTCACATCATACTTCAATCCATAGTCCGAGCACACATTCAGCAGTTGCTGAAAACCAGCACTGCTGGGCGAAAGTATGGCCAAATCATCAGCATACATAAAATGATTTACAAGATTAGGGCCTATCATACATCCAGTATTACATTTATTCAATTCAATAGTGTCAGGCAGCAGACACAGTGGTACCTGTTCAAAGTATACAAACAAAATACAAAAATACAAACAGCAGTAGTAGTAGTAGTACAGCATTCATATAATCTCCCCCTTGTGTGTTTTCTTTTAAATAATCAAAAAACAAATATAAAAAGAATCACAATGTTCAGGCGTACCTCTATAATATTCACTTTATAAAGGGGGAAAAAATGACAACAGACTCTGTGCTTAATGCTAATGAGCTGAAACCAGTTTTTAGAATTGTTAGCATGCGTGCAGCCTACCATGTAACCTGTTGATCTGGCAGCAACAACTTCACACAGGAGTCTAGTTAATGCTCAGTGATAAGTAACACACTTGTGCCCCCTTGTGGTTCAAAAATAAAACTAAATATAAAAACAATGTGGGCATTCAAAATGGGATCTATTTCAAGTATGAAAAATACAGAGAAAAAAAAGACTATAAATATAAATACAATGTATTTATAAATATAAATATAAATAGTTGATTCAGAAAGTTTACAGACATGTCCAAGTTTTTTACATTTTATGTTTAACGCTCATCTACAACTTTCAATCTACACAAAATACTCCACAATGATAAAGTGAAAACAGGTTTTTGGGGTTTTGTAAAACAAATAAAAGTATTTCAAGTATGAAAAATACAGAGAAAAATAGACTATAAATATAAATACAGTGGATTTATAAATATAAATACTGTTGATTCAGAAAGTATTCAGACACTTTTACACAAGTATTTTACATCCCATTTACACAAGTATTTGTTATGATGACTGCAACTGAGCTCTGGTGGATCCTACTCTTACCAATAGTCCCTGAGATGCTTCTACAACTTGATTAAAGTCTACTGGAGCTGAATTTAATTCAATGGATGTAAACAGGAAAGGCACATACCTGTCCATATAAGGTTTCACAGTTGAAAACAAAGCCATGAAGAGGAGAGAATTGTCCATAGACCTGCAAGACACTGATCTGAGGAAGGACACAAGAAAATTTCTGCTGCAATGAAAATGGCCAAGAGCACAGCAGCCCCCATCATTCTCCACCAATCAGGCCTCTATGGTAGAGTGGCTAGACAGAAGTCATTCCTCAAAAACACACACACACACACACACAACAGCTTGCTGAGAGTTTGCCACCTCAACAACTCTCAGACCACGAGAAGCAATGTTGTCTGGTGCGATGAGTTAAAGACTGAACTATTTGGCCAATGGACAATTCCCAATGGCACGTGTGGAGAAAACCAGGCAGTGAGCACCACCTCATTAATACCAAGCCTGTTACAGAGAGTTACAGCTACACTTTGATTGGTCTGCTACTGTAAAATGCTTTAGATGAAAAGTGCCACTATGTGCAGTCCCTTTTCCATGCATGATTTATATTTCAGATCAGCTATTGGTCATCTGCTTTATCAGCAGGAGGGATGGGTGAATTCTTCATGTGTCTCTTCTACATGAAGATCAGGCCAACCACAACAATTACAGTAACTGACAGACTAACTAACGGTCTAACATGCCCTTGCCCGTTTCTGAGGCCCGTTTCTGATTTTCCTCCATCTTTGGCTCTTCCCTCCATGTCTGCTCCATCCCAGGTTTTTCCATCAGTGTGGCCTGCAGAACAGAAGGAAGTGTGAGTATCAGCTGCCATGTAGGCAATGACTGAAAGACGGAACAAACTCCTGTCAGACAGTTCATTGGTTATTTGTCTGTTCCTTCAACTCAAGACGATAGTTACAGCCATTGATACAGTTACAGCTGCCTCATAAACAATGCCCATGGGCCAGGAACTTCTTTTCTTGTATGTGAAAATTTAAGTGGCAATAAACCCATTTCTGATTCTGTTTTAACCACGGCTGCCGTGTAAAAGTGATGCTGATCTCAATGAGACTTCCTGTTAAAATAACGTTTATCCCACTGTTTAGATATTTTATGACTTTAGTTATTATATTTGGAATTCATAATGTTTTTCTCGATTACTCCTCAACATACTTCACATGCAAACCCTCTGCCCTTCCCAATAGGCTTAACTTGGAACCTTCAGAGGAAGTGAGTAAAAGTGGGTGAACAAAGTTCAAGACACAAGTTTGATTTTGGTACTGCTAACTGTACTGAAACTTGCCTCGGCAGAATCAAACCCAAACATTGACAAACAAGAGGTGACATTAGTGTCACAGCGAACCAGTATGTCTGCCATATGGACTTATTTTGTGTTAGACCAGAGGATGTATAGCAGAACAATTAGCAGAAGAGTTGAGCCAAGTTTACTACCTCTCATGGCAGAATAGAGGGTCAATTCCTCATGTTGGCTTGATAACTTTTATACAGAATGATGTGGCAGAAATGTGGCACAATAATCCTGTCTTGAAGTGTAAAATAGGCTATAGAAACACTGGACTCTAACAACAAACCTGAGTCATCAACCTTCAGGTTGATGGTGGAGAGGAGTACAGGGTCATGTCTCTTTCGCCGTCCTGAAGTGCCCCTTCCAATTCGACATTCATATTTTCCAGTGTCGTTGATGGAGACGTTCCTCAGGATCAGAGAAAAGTCTCCATCCTTCATCCCCAGATCCTTTACCTCCACTCGACCATGATAAGATGAATGCTGGTAGCGTTCCAGCAGGTGGCCATCTCGGTAAAAGTAGACATACCCATGTGAAAGCTGGTCAGGCCTGCTCCACTGTAACATCTGGAGGGTGGTGTGCCCGGGATCCAAACATGGTAGAGTAACAGTGTCTCCAGGATTCACTTTCAGCTCTTGGGGTCATAAAGAAAACAGAGATGACTGTAACAGGTAACAGTTTCTTCTACAGTCTGGTTGTAACACAAAGCTAGTACCTATATACGTTTCCGTCACAAAAATATCTGGATCTAGATCTGTCACACAAACATCTGCATCAGTTTATATAGCTTATTTGGACTACACTGTGTGCACAATTATTAGGCAAGTTGCATTTTTGAGGATTAATTTAACTACAGTACTCTTGGTAAATCTGTTAAAGTGAGAATAATAAAACTCAAAATTTACAAATAAACATTTCTGACATAAAAAAAAGTGACCAATATAGCCGCCCTTCTTTTCAATAACAGTCATAAGCCTTCCATTCATGTTGTCTGTCAGTCCCTTGATATAGGTGGTAACACCTATATCTGTATGTTTAGCTGCACACAAATTAATACGTTTTAAATGTACCAGCTTACCTCGAACGTCTGAAGCAAAAATAGCTGAATACAAAGTAGCCGTAATGAACAGAAACGTCCCTAAACGAAACATGGAGCTAACTTTCTAGAACTTTCAGATCTAACTTCAGCTGAAGGGTCTTGACCGGCTCGCACTCGGCACTGAAAGTGGGTGACTTCTTCCTCTAGAGGTTTACGGCGGTTGATTTGGAGAATATCACGTTTGTCCAATAAGCTATGTACCGAACCGTTAAAAGTTCACTGAAATTGAACAGAGCCAAAAACAGAGATTAAATTAAATCTGTCGACACATGAGAGAACGGTGTCATCATTTACTTCCGCTTTGGGGAGGGAGGAGAGGAGAGGCGTGTCCGGCTGAACACACCCTCACTGGCAGCAACATGAATGAGCTGCACATGTTTATTCCAGAGCTCTTGTCATTTCATCCTTATTGGTATTTCCCCACAGTTTGATATATGCTTATTGCATTGTTCATATTTCTATATATAACAATGCAATTTTTCTGTTAACAGTAAGGCAATGAAAGAATGACTGTCAAGAGCATTCTTACATGTAAAAACTCAAGAGAATCCCTTTGCACACATATATAATTAAGACATTTATACTCCTATTAATATATTCAAGCTAAACAAAAAACATATCCTAACTATTCATAGCAGTGAAAAACCTGGGACATGAATTTGAATGTGTTGTAACTCATTTAAATAGACAGCCATCAAAATGCTGACAACAGTCCACCAGCAGCACAGTCTGAAAGAGATATGACAGTAATTCATAGTTTTTTTCATAGTTTGTAGTTTATTCCATTACAGGCAGGGCAGTGAGGGGGAAGGATTAAATATATTCTCACCATGGGGCAGGAAAGGAAGGGAAGCAAACCAGGTAAACATGGACAAGACATAGTTGAATTATTCCTTTTTTCAATAAAACCAATCTGTGAATCTGCCAATAGTTTGAATAAGTAATTTTCAGATGAATTTTTTATACAGTATGTCAGTACTGATATATTTAAATATAGTCATCACCTCCTTATTGTTACCTATATAATTTTCTACATGACGCTATTTCATCTTTTCAGACATATGCATAAATAATTACACATAAAAGATGGTGCTGTACACATCATGATGGAAAGTATTATAGTGCTTTCTTTAGAGCAGTATTTAGTGTATGACCAGCTGCAAGCAAAGCTACTGAATGTAGGGCACTGCTGACCAAACCTTAGTGTATCTATGGGAGACTACTGGGACTGCCAGCATGATCTGAGTAGTGTTAGACTGTAAAACTGTCTGGTGTGAGTAACCACAGCAAATCTTATTCCAAATAGAGAGACTGTGCAGATCACTATGGTGACTCTAGGGTTGGAGGTTGCACTGCACCAAAGGTCACTGTGAGCAGGCTGTCACTCTGCAGCATGTCTCATCACCATAAAGCGTTTGTAAAAGGAGCATATTGTCACTATGTCATGGCAGAATGTCAAACACGTTTTCACTCAGAAAAAAAAAGTCTGAAATATATAACTCCTTACATTCAGGAAGGCCTAAATACTTCCCTACATTTCTTTAATAAAAACCACTGACATCTAACCAATCTGTTATAAGAGCAATAAGGATAATACCACCAAATAAGTGATAACATTAAGAATAATAATGCAAATCGTGAGCCACCTGTTACACCCAGAGTGATATGGAAGATTGTATGCCACATACAGTATTTAGAATTAGCATACGTAATGCTCAAGCCCATTTCCTAATTCAGTTCAACCTCAAGGATGTCTGAGATGAACCAGATTAAAGGGAAGCAAACACCTTGATGTCCAAGATGACTGAGAGCACCTTGAGAACAAGAGCAATTATATCCTGGGACATTTTACCAATAGTTTGGTCCTGTCTGATGACCTGGGCATTTAATAAGTCTCAGAAAGGTTTAAATATACAATCATTTTTAGACATGATTAGAGTTTTTTTTTGTCTTTTTTTTTACTGTGACTTAATGCCAAGACTTTTTATATACCAGCCATGCTACTCTGAAATGCATAAAGCATGCAGACCCTGACCTGGGCACGTTGCTAAGAGGTCTCCAAAGAGAAAGATACGCTAGTTATGAGACTGGGACAACTACTAAAAATGATTGTTTCAATCCCAAGGTACAGAGGTTGTTTTGTCAAAAATGAAAGCCATGGCAGTGTATTTGGGGTCAGAATGACATCTTTTCTGTGGTGTTGCTGTGTAACAGTCTATATAAAAACCAATGGTATGGCTAGCAAAATAATGGACTTGGTTTGTGTTTAAATAAAGCAAAATACCTATACAAAATTACATTTCATAAATACATTTGGCAATACAATGTATTAATTTTTTTTTGGCAAAGGGTGATTAATTGAGCAATATGATGTGAGAAGAGTATCCAAATGTAAATCTAAGTAACTGAGTGACAATTTCTCTTCCAAAAAAAAAAGTCTTCATGCACTGTAAAGAGTAACCAAAAGACTCAAAAACATTCATAGGTGTCTGTAATAACTTTGCCACAATCACAATTTTTTTAAAACACAAATTCTCACTTGTATAACACGCTTACTCTCTTTCTCAAAGTCAGTTCTTTATAGACCTGAGGAACATTTCATAATGTCTATTCACTTGACTGACAAATATGTCCATCTTCACATTCCTGATCTGAAAAAATAAAATAAAAGATGCACAAAATTTCTGGAGCTGCTGAGGGTGCAGGAAGTTGTACAGTACATCAATCCAGATGATGTGCCTATGCTAACCTTTTCTATAGTGTTATATGTTTTTGAAACCCTGCTCAGTTATTTACTCTCCCTTTGATTCCGTTAAGTCAGGGAATTGATGTAATGCTGACCCATCCCTATGTGAGTGAGACGACATTGTTTTGGAACGGCATTGTGAAGCTACAGTTATTTATATCCACCCAAAAGCAGCACAGCCCCCTGGCATGCAGAGAGAGGTATCTTTTTTTCTTAGTCATTGCAATAGTGTGAAAATGCTGTAAACAGTGCTCAAAGGGAACACCTGAAGAATGGAAATAGCTTGTGAGTCGGTCAGTCACGTTCCGTCATCTGATGAGTGACTGCATTCCGTCGCATGCACGTACTGTGATATGTTATAAATTCTGGATGACTGCACCTCTCAGTTTAGAGCAAAAGACGTCTGAGTCTTCGGAGCACACTACACCATAGATGATAGTGTGTTTTCTTCAGGACAGTGACAAGGGCTAGATGTTCGTAGGGAGTGCATGGCTGGTGGGGCGCCCTCGCCGGGGGAAAGGTCGTTGAGCTCCTCAGAGGATGAGAGAGGGAAGGAGGGTGACAAAGAAATGCCTGACGAGGGATCAGCAGATCCAGCAAAAGTGCGTGGGGGCTTGGGGACTAGGTTAGGCTCCAGTGTTGCTCTGGCCAGAAATTGCTTATCATTCAACCGCTGTCCATCTCCCAGACACTCGCCTTGCTCAAATGAGCCCCGGCCTGACTCTGACTCCTCATCAGACAGCTCCAGAGGCGGTGAGCTGCTGCCATCCAGTCTGAATAGAGAGTCCAAGTACTGTGCAAACTCCAGCACTGCCTGGCTGGGGTTTCCATTGGATAGTTGGGGTGGAGGAGTAGAAGCTGATGGTCTGGTTTCTGCATGTAACTGTCTCTCTGTTGTGTTTTCGCTATCCATTGGCCTAGAACCAATTTGAGGACTGAGGGGAGCATTAGGAGTGGTCCCTGGGCTGTAGACACCAGGTATCTGTTGAGGATCCCCATCAGGAAGCATTTTTGTGATGGTAAGAGTTTCTGGCCTGAAAGGCTGAACCAAGACACTCTGGTTTAGCAGTGCTGGGGAATGGTGTCCACTGTAGCAAGGTGTGGAAGGAGACAGCCGCATGGGATAATCTGAGGTGGATCTGGATTCCAGTGGTGTATAGAAGGGCCCAACCTGCCCCAGGTGCTCTGGTGTTGCCTGGCAGAGGCAGTCAGCAGCGAGTAATTCAGTGCGAGAGCTGAGAGATGGGTTCTCCTCTGGGATTGGGGCATCCAAAGGGAAAGGGAGGCTACCCAGCATCGGTGAACCCCTTAGTGCGGCTGAAGAACGTCGGGAATCCAGACTATAGAGGGATTCCGCGTCTGAAAGACTCTCCATGACGGCCAACGGTGCTTTTCGGTCCCTCAGCTCCACTGACAAACGCTCCCGAGCTCCACGCAGCACTACAGGCACGGGAGGAGGAGGGCACTCAGAGAAACCATCCAGAGATATTTCAGACTGGGCACATGAGCTAAAGGAGAGGAGAAGAATGATTTGCAGAGTAGTGACAAGAAAAGTAGGGTGGGGGGTACCCATGACACAAGACAAACATGAAACAAGTATCAAAACAATTTAAGGTTAAAGAAGGGTATAATGGGAAAGTGTTTTTCCCAATATCTTGATTTTACAAATTAGGCAAATGCCAGCAAAACATTACATAGATGAAAGAAGAACAGAGAGAAGGAGAGACTGGGAGGCCAGGAGTGTAGCATCTAATACAGGAGACAACAGTACAAATTACCCATCACAACCAGGAGTTCACACGGACTTTGGACAGGGGCTAATCCAGTGAGGGTAAAGTGGGAACTGAACACTACCATAAGTTGTAACTGCTCTGTGGTCAGACAGCGTGCATGCGTGCATGAGAGAAATGAGCACATTATGCAAAAGTAGTGGCATCATGCTTTGCTTACCGTGACAATGGTTTTTGTCTTGTTTTTTTAAACCAAACGAACAGACAGAAACGATAATTTTGAGAAGACAAAGTAGTAGTTAGTAGCAGAAGTATTGTTTAGTACTGGCTAAATTATTACAATTAGACAGGTCTCCTACAGTTTAGGAAGAGGGGAAACTGAATATACAAAGGATCAAATAAACCGGTGATACACTGCATATATTTATAGGCTCCAACACACCCACAGTGGTGCACGGTGTACTAACCGAACACTGCTGTTCCTGCGGTGGTGAGTTGTAGGCGTTGGCTGCTGCGAAGCGGTTGATGTTTCCACGAACAAGTGTTCTGGGTTCAAGTCCACTTCTGTGGGGCTCACCATGATCTTGGCAGCTGATAGCAGAGCTGTTTTACCTTTGTTGTAGTTCTCCAGCACCTGTCATAAGCACAAAAGTATACATATGTAACTTGACAGATAAAGGCACAATCAGAGTAAGAAAGCAAGGAGGGTGTGCACTGGGGTTGCATACAGGAACGTATACAAACTCAGTTCTAACTATAGAGAAGTACCCCCTACACACATATTTTGTAAGTTTATTGTTGCTGCACCAAACCAGTATTTGCTTATTTTGCAGGCTGAACAAACAAATAACCTCAATGACTGTTAAATTTTACTACTTTATGTTCTATGTTCTCAAAAAACTGGATGCAGAGGAATTTCAGAGTACTGACATCAAACCAGACAGAAATGTAAAAAAATGTTTCTTCTTCTCTGCCAGCAGGTGGGATAAAAAAAAAAAAAAACAGGGCTTATAAATCAAGAAATCATTGTGTAATCCACTGGTATTTAATAGTTTGGGAACGCATCATCAACACAGAGTCAGTTTTCATCCAGGTGTCTAACCTGTGCCGCTCATCGAGTTAGTTATGTATTTGGATCATACTCGGTTTTCAATGACATCTATTATTATATTGTTAAAAAGCACAGTGTAGTTGACATGAATTTAAGTGCAGTCGAAAGGTGAGCTTACACACACTCCAACTGACATTCAAACACCCACAATAAAGTCAAGATGTCTGAGCAACAACTACACAATTCCTAAAGTGCAGTAAGGAACAGAAAACCATAAGACAACTATATATGCAACTTCAAAAAAAGATTCCAGACAGCTCTGTGTTGTGTTACTAGTTAAAAATGTGAGGAGAGCAAATGGTAAATCACATCACCACACAATTACATATAGCTGGTTAATTTTAATCAGTAAAAACAACTGGTGGAAGCACCACATGGCATAAAAACAACAGGAACAGTAAGAAAGGATATGAAAACAAAAAATAAACAGACAATACAACATAAAACGGCATAATTAAATGGAAATGAATGCAGACTGAAATCTTAAGGACACAGGTTCAATATGTTAAAAACAACATAAAATATGTTACGTATGTTTGGGTATGCTGATGGTTATGGATCACAAATGAAAACGTGTGTAAAACAAAACATGAGGATAAGATTGCTGCAAGTGTTAAACCACAGCAAGTATTTGGCACTAAGAGTATCAAGCACATCATCGGCAGTTGTAGGCACAACAATCAACAAATGGCGACAAAAAAGCACGAGACTGCAGACTCTGTATAACTGAGGAGAGAAATGTACGTTTCAAAATGATACTTGGAGTTGTGCATTATGCAATACTGTACTGCAATCCATACAGCCATAGATCCATATGACCGACCTGATTTGTGAAAGCACATTGTGACATGGCAGTTACAGTGGAGGACATAAAATATTTCATTTTACTAATAAAGCCCTCCAAAGTACCAAGTCAGTAATAAGAAATTAAAAATCTGTTAGACTCAGTGAGCAGTGGAGCTGAGCAGAGTACTCCACACTTACACATTTCTCCCCCCTTGTTATTCCATCTGCTACTGATGAGTAATTTGTAGGATTATGATAGAGGAGAAGGAAAAGCTGAATATGTGCTTTCAAGCAGCAGGAAGGGAAAAAAAAGCATTCAGACTGAAGAGCTGCAGTTACTGAAAAACCCAGCCAAGAAGGAAGAAAGAGCAGCTAATGTGAAAGAAATTAGGTTACCATGGAAACTTTGTGAATAAAACCTGTCAGCTCGAGGAACAGGGTCATGCCACAGCACTTGACCAAATATACTGTAGCGGTGAGAGGAAAGAAGAAGAATGAAGGATTGATTTAAGTAAAGCTGGATTACTCTCACTAACAAGAGAAAAGATGGCAGGTGGGCTGGGACTCATCATGCAGGGCTGTAAAAGGCTATTTTTAAAGACTTTGGTTTAATGAGATTACATAAGACTGACACCATATCCTGAGTTTTACATCAGGTGCAATATTATTCCTGTTGAACTTCATGTGCACGACATCATTTCATCTTAGTCTGGCCATTTAGACACAGCACTAATAGTAACAATGACAGTTTTCAAGTTTCAAGCTCACAATGAATTAACTTGTATCACTATTTAGATAATTATGCAATCCATATTATGAGGCTAACAAAGGTCAAGTCTAATACTGATTATCATAAAGTCCATACAAGAGAATCAGAAGGACAGTTTGTCACTTCTAAACTATAGACTTCATCATTTTGCAGAGAGCTATGTGATGTTGCTTTCTTGAAAGGAACATTTTCTATCAGAGTACAGTTAGATTCAGATTTTCAAACAGAGGAGTAACAGTCACATCCACACAAGAGCAAGAGTTGGGCAGGTCTGTCTGGGTTTGTGGTGGAATGTATTAATCATCTTCAACCGAAAGCACTCCTGAGTCGGGGTCAGAAGGAGTGTTAGAAAGTGGGGGAAGAATCACCAAGCTTGACTGCGAGGCAGAAGTACGGTCTGAATGAGGAGGAGGAAGAACAGGCTGAGCATCTAAAAAGGAGGTAAAAGAAAAGGGTAGTCAAAGGGACAGTGGCAAACTCTGTCTCTATGAGGGAAGCAGAGCAGGACTGGTCTTTGTGGGTGGAAGAGACAGAATCAGAGGGCTAGAGTTTAAATCTTTTTGCGTGGCTATGCGGCTAGGTTGACCCACTTCCTGTTCCATCGGTTCCGAGTTTTCCTGCTCAGACAGGGGACAAAATGGTTCCAGTACCTGCAGAAACACCAGAGGTATCACACTACAGACCAGGCACAACAGATGTAAAAAGACACACACACACACACACACACAACTTTTAAATAGCTATCCAGAGACATGCTGAGACAGCTACAACAACAAAATCAATGTGCACAGAGAGGGAAACTGTAACACCGCAGCCTCAAGAAAGTACAATCCCACACAGCAAATATCCACATTAATGTCCAATCAAAATAATCAAAACAGATGTTCAGTGTTTGTAAAGAATAAGCTCATAAGGACCAGAGAAGACCATGGAACCAACCAGGAGTGAACAGTTCCAATGCTTTGAGACTGGAGCACCGTGGAAAAAAAACCAAAAGGTAAGGTGTAGGTTAAAGAGGTTTTAAAGAGGTGTAGGTTTTTATAGTTGGAGGCAATTCATGAATCAGCCACCAGTTCAGTTACCCAGTTTAGGAAATCAGGAGCAAGAGTTGAGACCCATTTCACCATAATTACCCAAAAGCCAAATCCATCTGCATGCACACACATAAAACCAGACCTTGTTTAGGCCCTCCATCACCATGTGTGGCATGTGCTCATTAAGCATGGCGGGTGATATGATGACCTCATCGAAGGCCTTGTTGTCCCCCCACAGAGCTGAGTAGGTTGGCTCCTCCTGGCCACAGCTACAGAGAGGCAGAGAGAGAGAATGCCTGTCAATTACGGTGAAAGACGAATTGAACAAATGTTAATTTAGCAGCCTGCCTCGGTGTCCTTCACACTTACAATACAGTACATGTGGGAGAAGCATAATTCAAGCTATCACACCACTAAGTGGAATATTTTGTAATTTTAATGCATATGGCAAACTACATCATAATTCCTTTATCAGACATACCAACCACACATGAGATTTATCTTGTTGTCACTGTGGGTAACCTACAGGACAGACCTCAACCAGCTTCCTTTAAGTTAACTGGCTTCTAGTGGTGCTCTGCAACACAACCATCAGTTAGTAATGGTCTTTTATTTTTGACTTTGACTTACAGAAGTCACCAATACTTTAATCCAACCAGACAGTTACACAACTTGTCAAATCAATAAATACTTTAAAAAGATGTATATAATATTTTCAGAATGTCATTCTATATCAGATACTGCTTATCTCTTTACGATATAAAATGACATCCACTTTTATCCATAAGATCACTGAAATGTTTTCTGGCCTTAGATTACAGCCCAGCTACTACAGGATGCATATGTTTGATAGCAAAATTTCAGCATCTCCACACATTAGTGGTAAAGATGTACATTTCTCCTTTAAGTATATTCCCCTGCTGTACAAAATAAAAAACACAAGTAGATAAGAAAACAGGTACAAAAGACACTGATATTAGACAGTGCAACAGAGAGTGTAACCGGAGTGCTGCGTGACACACTGCAAACCCACACTGTCGCACATATGCAGCGTATACCTTTTCCCACTGAGCTGCCAGTTCCTTTATGTCACAGGTGTGAAGCAAATATAAGGTTTGCTTTAAGGTAATCATGTCCACGCATCAGTTATGCAACCACTTGACTATCTGGGAGCTGAAGTTGTGTGGTAAAAGTGTATGCTGTGTACAAAGTCAAGCTCTAAATCTCAATAGCGCTCAACTTCTGACTGATCCCACTTCTGGAATCCACAGAAGAAACAGTAAAGAACCAGATTTGACGATGTAATTGCTGGTATCTGCTCACAGCTTTAATGAAATCTCACCATGTCTCTGGAGGATGGTTGTGCACCACGTGGATGACCCTGCCAGGAGGATAGAGGGGAGTGGAGGCTGAAAGGGCAATGCTGAGGTCACTGGGGTGGAGCCACAGGCGATTGCTGGGCGCTGCAGCTGGTTGAGACTGAGGATCATCATCTTCTAGTGGAAGCTCTGATTTCGGGATACATTTGGTGCCTCCCGCAATGATCCTCCACTGTTACAAAAAACAAAACAAAAACAAAAAAAGTACTGTTGTTGTACAACACAACAGTAATTTAACTAAATGCTGAGTTAATCACAGAAAAGACAACTGTAGTATGGTGCTTTTTATTTTTAGTCAGCTAATGCAAAACTTGCATTACAAGTGAGAGGCTACTGGGTTTATTTTGATGGATGAACATGCAAATATGTTGTGAATCTCACAACTATTTGATTATTCATTAGTGTCAGTATGGTACAGATGTGTTTTTGTCAACTGTCAGTAAAGCACTCCTACAAATAACTGTGAGACAGCACAGCTTGTTCTTGACAGCACAATCTCTTAGTATCTTTCTTTTTGATGCTTTCATAGTACAAGTGATCTACAGGTCTGCCATCGTCCACAGTGTTAAGAGTTTAAGTCACCTTTGGCTTGTTACTTTTTTGTAAGACTTCCAGAAGGTGGCGTCGGAAACCCTCCAGTTGCGAAAGGCCGAGTCTATGAAAGACCAGAGGTAGAGATGCTTATAGTGGTAATACTGTAGCAAAGTGGAGTTAAACAGATACATGAAATAAATATAGCAGAAGCGATACCTTGGTACAAGGTCTTTTCCTAATACCACAGATGAAACAAACTCTTTGGAGTATTCCATGGCATCCTCACTGGGTAAAAAAAATAAATAAACTGATAAATTACACAAACACAGCATGTGAAGAGAGTAAAAACTGTGAAGTGAGAGGGAACAAAGTTCTCTACAAACATTTCGTACTGTAGTGGTACGAGCAGGATCCTCCAGAACAGCTTCAGGGCTACTTGCCAAAGATTCTACCATCTCTATACTCTACCTGAGGCTGAAACACAGTTCTTTTAAAACGTAATCTCTCATTTGGTGTTTGATGATGTTGATAGTGAAATAGGTGTTTAAGTGACAGATCGAGATCTCCCACAGATGTTCAGCTCATATACACTACCAGTCAAAAGGCTGGACACTGTCCATTCAATTCAATGGCAAAGAGTGTCCAAACTTTGACTGGTAATGTATGATTCACACATATTTCCTGCTCAAATCATTCAGTGGCGGTCACCTGCATGTTACGTTTCTCTACTCTGTAATTTTATTTTGTCAACCATCTTATTTCTTTTCAAGTTTGAGAAATTACCCTTATGGCAGGTCTGTCACTACGTGGCTTTGTTATTAAAGGATGCACACACATTTTTCCTGTAATAATTACAGTAAAAGCTTGGTTTGCGGGTAACCTGGTTTGCAAGACGAGCAAAATTTTTTTGGTAAATTTTAACATGATAAACGAGCGAGGTCTTGCAATACGACTAGTACGCACGCTTTGTCTGCTGAGCGTTACGACGCCTCACTCATATAGTTAACATTTGTACTGCAACAATAGCCCCGATGAAGACAAAAATAAAGGTTAAAAAGAAAGGCGGTAAGAAAAAGGAGATGATTACAGTGGAAGTTAAAAAGGAAATCATCGAGAAGCATGAACGAGGTATGCAAGTGGCCAACATCCCAAGATTTTATAAGGGAGATGTGTAAAATGTGGGAAACACTGCAAAATTTTGTAGGAAAGCACCACCCGAATAAAGCTGTAGCAGAACAAACGATAAATCTGTTTAACGACAATGCAATGCCACATTTCTGCTAAATCCTCAAAAGGAGGCAAAAGTAAGTGTCATTGGATAACTTCCTTGTTAAGGTCACACAAAAAGAAAAAAATTTCAGCGAGCCAACAGATAGCTCCTCTCTCGTCTCCCTCACGCCAGCCACAATTCTTTTCAAAAGGTAAAGTGCAGGTTAATTTGTTTTATTTTTACTTTATACTGTATTTTGTATTACTGTAATCATTTTTATATGGATAAGTGGGTGTAGAACAAATCATCTGAGTTTCCATTATTTCTTATGGGGAATTTCACTTTGATATACGAGTGCTTTGGATTACAAGCACGCTGTCGGAACAAATTATACTCACAATCCAAGGTTTTACTGTATAGCATTACAAGTCAGTTACTACAAAATTATTTTAGGATTACCATATTTCTGTAATAGATATTTTGATGGGAAACTTGAATAATCAAGCTTCCGACTTATCCATAGACTGTGTTTTTTAATAGGATTATAAAATAAAGAAAAAATAAATCATATCTATGCTACAAAACCTCGGCCTGCATCCAGGGGACCACTCTCTCTCCCCCCTTTCTTTCTTGTCTGCTTCTATACTTTCAAATAAAGGCAAAAAAGAGTACACCAAAAATACTCACACTGTCATGTCATCTCTTTTTTTTTTGTACACTGTATAGAAGACACACAGGCTGACTCACCTAAGAAGGCCACCGGGTGGAGAGTAAGAGTAGCAGTGAAGTGTGGGGTACTGAGGTCTCAGCAAGAACGAGAGGATAGCAGCAGTGCCTGCTCCTAGAGAATGGCCAACGATCACCAGGCCATAGTGCATGGTGCCCTTGTTCTGTGAGAGACAGTCACAATCATTACACTTGCAACAGCACACTTTTGTTACCACTGGGAAGATAATCACTTAAACATTTAAGGTGCCTCTACTGGTACTTGTAGAATTCTTTGTTTACATTTGGGTTTGGAGTAATGTAATGTTACATAACTAGTGCAGCATGGATAACATACTAGACTGGGGTTAATACAAATTCACATTATGAAAAATGTTCACCAGTCGTTACACAGTATACTGAGACATGTACCAAGTCTCTTCCAAAGGCTTGTGACAAGATCATTTCCTGCTCCAGTTTCTTCTTAATGTATTCTGCTGAAAAAACCATCCCCTGAGAGAAGAAAGAAGGAGAAATTCACTGAGTGGAAGAGAGGATGGTGACAGAGAAATCAATATCGATAGGAAATCTGCATTATTACTCTCATACTAAAATATTTTAGTAATTACTCTACTGTAAACAATTTAAATGATCCTTGGAGTCTAGGATTGCTAGGATAATTGCTGAAATTGCATTATGGACAACAGAGAAGCTCAAAAAATATCACAGAAGACTTTGTAATGAAGTACTGAAGATGAGTGGTTTAGAAACGGCTCTCTCTGACCTTGTGGCCAAGCCAGGTCCCATGCTGCTCCTCTACAGGCAAACGTTCAGGATCCCCCGTCAGGTCAGTCAAGGCATCCTGATACACAAAGGACAAATGAAAGAGATTTTACAGAAGACAGCATAAAGCAGAGTTCCTATATTATTGGTGAAGTACTACACTCTCTCCTAAGGCAGTGGAAAGTGAAAAGTTTCTTTTATCATTGTGATGTGTTTCTAATGCCCCAGAGTGCATGTAGGGTACCTGCATTGTGATTTACTACACTGTTAAACTGTACTGAATGGATAAGAGCAAAGCACCTGAGATCAATGGGATACACAATTACTTTCCTCACAGAAAACAGGAGTTTTCTGAAATATGGATGTTAAAAAAATAAATAGGACATTTATTTCTGAAAGTGCACAGTCATGTCTCTGCTGTATGTGTGAAGTATGTAGGAGTTTGTGAACAGAACATTAACCTAGTGGACTTCACCTGCTCTGGAGGTGTTGCTGTTGTGAGGTACAGAAGGGAGGAGGGTCACCTAACGTTCAGAGACAGCTAAAGAAATACAGGGTGGGCCACGGTAAAGTAGCCCATGTACCCGTACTGCCCGTAGCACCGGTACTGGAGGCGGGCTACTTTTCTGTGGCCCACCCTGTATTACGATAAAAAAAAGACAAGGGAGCTGAAATACACCTTTGGCGACAGGGTTCCTCTGATACTGATGACAACTTTCTTTTTCGCGTGATCCACTGCCACAAAAAATGGAGTTTCATAAACCTGTGTGGAAGATGCAGAGCAGATAGTAAAGCTGGTTAGACAGTGAGAGGAACACACACAGTTTCACTTGCAGCGCTAACTGAGCACTACTAGAGTCATCATACCTTTCTCAGCTTGGCAGAGTACACAGTCATGTGTCACTGCGTGAGAGGAACTTAAAGAAGGAAACTCGGTGTTGGCTAACTTCACTGAGAGGTTCCCCATTTTACAAATCAATGACATCATCTGGCTCAAGTGCCAATGTGAATGTTATGGAAATTCTACACTGAAATATAATTATTAAATGATCACAAGTAGAATCTACAGCCCTTTTCAGACTTGCACTGGAATCCTGAAATTCGCTAGACATTACCCGGCGGAGCTGTACATGACAACGCAAACATCTGAGTCAGTTGCCCCAGACTCTGCCAGCTCCCTAGTACAAAGTCTGCGTAAGGCCCGAGTGAGCTGGAGTGGGCCCATGTGAGAATACAGCAGCCTATAGTCTGGAGTATTCACAGGGAGTTAGTGGGCTGTTGATGACATTTTAACATGCGACTGGCTTGAAACCGCAAAAATACAAACATCCAATGGTGAAGAAAAATGGTCATTTACAATAGAGACGCCAACGAAAATGTCTAACCGGAAACACAATGAGATCCAGAAACTTCTGTCATCAAGAACCAGTGCCAGAATCATCAGACAAGGCAAAATACTCTGTTTATGACCAAATTATAAACTGGCTACGCGACCACATCATGACCCGCCTTCTGCGTTCTCTACCCAGGCGTGCAGAAGGCGGGCATAAACCAAATGGGAGTATTTCTATTAGATGAGTAAGTTTGGTATGTGTACAGATAAAGTGAAGATTGTCATGTTCAGAGAATACTGTACACCACTATACGCTGCCCACTTATGGTCAAACTATAAACAAGCAAGCTTACAGAGGCTTCAGACAGCTTATAATGGTGCAGTAAGAATCTTACTTAAGAAACCTCAATGGTTATGGTTTTTCTCATGGTTTGTATGCAACTCTTATGTATTATCCTGTTTCATTTAATTTGGACCTTGTGTCTGGAATAAAGTTGAATTGAATATCTTCTGTTGTGTGCTACATGAATGAACTCTCGACAAAGCTCAGGCCTGATTCCGCGGACATAGTCCAGAGTTGATGTGTAAAAATGGCTCATGACAAAGCAGAGCCTCAACAGAGTCCAACATCTACTGAGAACACGCCTGACTTACTGCCAAGGATGCGGACACAGCTCACTCTCGGCTCCCCGTATCTCAGCAACTACACTGGTGAGTAAAGTGTTATCCAAACACATAAAAACAATGTCCAAAACCTCAAAAATAAAGCCACGAAATAATTAGAATAACTTCTTCTCTGTGGTTGTGCAGCACTGCACACAAGACCTGTGTTATTTGATGTTTGTTTGACACAAGCACTGTCTGCTTGGACGAACAAATGAAAATGTTTGCCTGAAGCTGTTAAACTGCTCCGGTTCCTTTGTTTTATTCAGGAAATAAAGCCCAGACACCTCTGATTGCTCATTAGCGGGTTGTAGGATTACTCACAGCATCGTGGCAGGAAGTGTAGACAATGTGAACCTGCTTGAGGTCCCTGTCCAGGAAGTGTCTGCGTATAGCCAGGATATTACAGCCACAGCAATTGTCCTCTTCCACTGTCACAGACTGAGACAACCGAGATCCAGACACTGACGTGCATCTGAGGTGAAAGCGGAGGATAAAAAGAGAACAGGGGGGACACACAAAGACAAAAATAACAGATAAATGCCTCTCTTTGTTTGTAAAACAGTGGGTGGAACAGACACAAGAGAAATACAGTGGACAGGTAAGACTGCATAGTCTACTATCCCAGTGCAGACAATCTGTGTATATGATTAATTCTACATTGCTTGTGTCAGTGAGTGGGTCTAACAAGAGTGGCATTGTCTCAGGTGATTAATAAATAACAAGTGTTGACACATATGAAATTTGATCTGCACTGGAAAGGCTCAAGAGACACAAGAGGCCAAATAGATCCAAACTGTGCAGGTGTATGTCTGAGTGCTCACGGGCAGGAGCTGGCGAGGCGACACACCCCACAGGCAGGCTTCCTCATCAGATACATGGGCCAACCATATGCAGCCAGGGCAAATAGCATGTAATAGCACACATCCTTGTACATGTTCATCTCGGCCTAGGAAAGAAAAAGGCAGACATGCATCAAAACAAATGAAAAAAATGCCTGAGATAACATTCAAATATGACTTAACTAGTGTGAGCACACACACCAATAACTAAGAAGCAGCATGACAGAAAAAGAGCATCTGTCAGAAGGGTTCTCATAGACGACTGTTGAATCTGATACAATACAGTTTACACATAACATACAAAAAAAAATACAATTTCTTTTAATATATTGTGTGAAATAAAAATTTTAAAAAAAGCTTTTTAGCAGACAGGGACCCCGAGGCCCCTGGCTCAACTCAATGTTTTTAATCCACTTAACATAATTTGTTAAATTCAAAGTTTTAATTTGTAAAATTCAAGGAAATAAAATGTGAGGACCTTGTGAAACCTTTGTTAGTCACAAATGAGCCTTCTCTTTGTGTATCATTTACATTAATTTACATACCTGGCTTTGAGCCCATGAAACTGAAAGACTAAAGCTTGATTTATGGTTCTGTGGTGAATCTAGGTAGAGCCTACAGCATTGTGAGCATTTATATTTGTGTGTAGCCCTGCAATTACACTGCAAAAACACGGGTCAGCGGTGTTTCTATACCACTTTGTTGGATTTCTTCACCACTTACAAACAATAGTGACAGAAACTGAGGGGGTCATGTTGGAGTTCAAACTAAAAGATGTTGAACACCAGTCACTTTCACTGAAATTACTGCAACACAGATATGAGAGAAGACCTTGGAGGAGATGGTCTGTACTACCATTGAACCAGCTGAGGCAGAACGAAGGGGGATTTTCCGTGCCTGTCCAGGCACCGAGAGACATGAATGAGGAAACGTGATGCAATAAATCACAGTTGCTGCGGTCTGCATTGCCATGGCGTGTAGTTACATTTCTGGAGAGGTACACGTCAGGCTACAATGTAGGCTAAGAGGCTACACTTTAAATTAAGCTTAAGAACAAGTGATTTGGTATTTCATTGTTTACCTAAATTATAGGCCATTTAACTTTCACAGGTGTCCATTATTCATGTAGAATGAATACAAGCCAGCCTTGGCCTTGTCAATATATGATAAGGAAGAAACTCACCGTATTCTTAAGGTCCAGGTATCTAGTATTACGAGTAACAGGCATTCCAGATAAGAAGGCTAAAATGTCATTGTTGGCCTTAGTAAGAGAAAAGAGAATAGTTATTCTTTCACTGCAGCAGGTACATACTGTACACAAGGACAAAAATGCAGACGTTAATGTATTTTATAAGCTCTGATACCTGGTCCAGTATAGCAGACCTCTTAGACCTCTGTCTCTGGCGGAGAAGTACCAAGCCAGCAATAATATCACTAGGCACAATGTCCAGATCTCTGAAGAACTCTGCAAAAAGGCTGGCCACTTCTGAATATGCATCCTGGACAGCAAAGCAGAGTAACCACAAGAGGACTGAATTACAGGAGGTTTGCCACAGAACTGACATTATCATCATGAAATACAGTATTTAATTTGTCCAGCTCTGGCTTCTAAAATTCAGTAATATCCTTTGCCAAAGGATATTACTTGATTTCTATAATTATACATCATCCACACCACCCGTGCATGACTGCAATGACACACACATTACTACACTAACCTGTGGGGTTGTACTGTAGGCCCACTGGATTTGTACATACACCACTGAAGACACCATGTCTTGTTCAAGTACTGGTTTTAATTTATTCAGAAAATACACTGAACTGTTAGCTAAAAGCTGATGGCAATGTTGGTGGATTTTGTTTTTACTTTGACTTTTAGTTCTGCAGCCTAGTGTTATGAATGGTAGTTATAGAAATTTATACAACTACAGTTGTGCTGAACTTTTTAACGGGCAGCTTATAAATTGAATTAACCTAAAATGAAATCATTTTCTATTCATATTTTATATACTGTACTTGTTAAGTGGTTGTGCAATAAGCTCCTTTTTGCCAAATTTGATTCATGCCCTCAGGGTTTAATGACTAGCTCACTGGACTTTATGTCTCACTTTATCTCAGGTTTCATTACTTTGTTTTGCTTTAACCGCAGTGAGGAAAGTGGTGAGTGTTTTATGTGACTCACTGATTGTGTATCCTGGGCTCTTGTGCAGCACATGAAGAACTTTAGTCTCCTGCTCCAGCTGCTAGCTTGGCCTTCCTCTAACCTGTGTCTAACGGTGAGAAAAAGGCAAAGAATACCATCACAACTGAATGTGTGTGAAAAACACTTAAGATGTAAAAGACTGGATGTTGTGTTTGGTTTTGTTCCACGACAAAACAAGACACAAAGAAAGAAATGAAGAAGCTAAGGGCCTGTTAATACCTGAGTGTGTATGTTGTGAGGTTGCGCTGCCGCCGACGGGTGGCTTTCAGTTTCACAAAAGTCCGACCCGTAGGATCAAAGGTGCACAGGAGGGTAATGCAAACGCTGAAGATCACAAGCCAGTTGCATGCAACAATTCCTTTGGAGAATATTAAATCATTATTTACATTTAAGAATACCAAAGTCCTTTAACTTAAAATGTCCATTTTCAGTCTCCTTTCACTCACCCAAAGCCAGGTTTTTGGCAGTGACATCAGAACATGGCTGGTAATACTGGACAAGCCAGGCAATTCCCACCACAGCATATACAAGTTCGACCAATAGAATAGCTGGAGAAAGAAAGAGGGAGAGGGAGTGTGGAGAATAATGATCAATATCTGCCAATCAATACAAACAGTGTTCTAATCTTAACTTGAAGCCACAACTAATCCTCACAACCATCTCCTTCAATCCTAACAAGCATCAAGAGCTAATCCTCTGTGTCTTACCTAGTCGGATGTAGAGGACATACTGCACAGCTTCCCTGGGCTGAGTGTACAAAATGCTGCCTCTCATGCTCAACCACATGATGGCACTCTCACAGATAAGGCAACTGACCAGGATGCCCAGGTATCCTCGACCATGGTCTACCAGCGTCACAGAACAGGACTGGTCTGAGCCATAGGGAAGACCAAACAGAACCACGGACAGAACCACCAACCTGAGTGTGCAAGACAAGGGAAGGTAGTGATAATACACATAAAGAAATATCTTCACATACAGTGATAAATAAGAATTTAATATACATGCAAAGAAACGCCATACAGTGAAAGAAACACTGACTCACCAGACGCAGTGCAATAAAAAAAGGAAGAGGGCTGGCAGCACTAGGTCATCACTGCCAACTGACCAGCGCCGTCGAAACATCACCATGCCAGGCATCACTGCCCTGTACAACAAACAAACAAAGGCATAAAGAAAACTTTAGGAACAAATGACATCACTACATCTCAGAACTCATTATACCCCATTTCTCATGGGTTTAACCTAATGTCTTATATATTGTGCATCATAGTCTTTCATGACTGAACGTCAGTTAGAAAGGAAGAAAAGGACAAGGCAACAACAAACAAACTCAGTGCATTTATACTGGATGGATGCAGAGAAACCACCACTTTATGAACAAAAGAAGGAAAATCTGCTTTGATATACAACTGTACCATGCTGGTTATGGCCGTGTTTAGCTTTTTTTTTTAAATACATTACTCTTATTTGAAAAAGGATTGCAAATTTACTCAAGTTGCCTCTAAACTGACATGAACTGCAAAAGACAGAGCAGGAAGGAAACAGCAAAGAGAGAAGGGAAGCAGAGGCTGATGCAGGCCTTGTGATGCTGATACAGATACAGGCCGATACAGCCTCTGTGGTGACCTGCTCCTGCATATTTGCTAAAGACAGCTTCTTCAGTTCTGTCAAAAAAGTAAGCCATCCATTCTGCCATAGCTATTGACTGTATACTGTATTTAACAACTTACTATAAAGAAAAGCTGGGCCTCACAACAGATAAAGCAACACAACATAATTGTAAGAGTTCTTACTGGTCTCTGTCCAGCACTCCTCTGCTTTTTTGTTTTGTTTCAGAACATTTTATTTTTCACATTTTTTAAGTTCTTGTGAATCTGGCAGCATCCTCCTTGATTCACCCTTAAATACCACAGTCATCACAGTTGTTAAAGTCTCACTCTGCATCGTGCCTGCATAAAGTAGCACATGAGATAGTTGTCATTCCCTGGTTAAAGGTAGCTAAATGCAGGATTGCACAGAGATGCCCTGTTTAGAGTGGATCAACGCTGCAGCAAAGTATGCTGCAGTGGGTTTCACAATAAATTTTACTGAAACCGCAGAGGTGAGTTAGTGTGATTACAAATAAGGAAAATGCAGATGCTGTAAGACCTAGGTTGTTAATTTAAATGGATCAAATGAAACAATGATGTGTAATTGTGTATTAAAGACAGCTCCAGTGGCAACTTGTCAGGCTGGACCAAGTACTGGCACAACAACTGTGTTGCACTGCAAAAATCTTTAATTGGCATGCCTTTGTTTAATAGTTTTCCAAGTTTGTTCACATTTCTGCTTCTTGAGTTTATGTCTTTTGTTCTTGCACTTGTTTGTTCAAATCAACTGGACCAAATGCCTATTAATTTAAATATAGTGCACACAGATCAAGACGACCTGAACACCATTCTATTCCTACGCCTTTAAGGTAAGTTAAGAGTATGAATCAGCAGCGACACAAGCTAAAAATCCAGCTACACTACTCCACAAAAAAGACTGTCAATAACGTGATTTGAAATAACACCTATAGCTTTGTGCTTTACAGTGGCCCCAGACATCCATCCTTTTTACTAAACAATGAAGAAGCATGTGTACAGAGTTTCTCGGGTAATGTCATGCTGTGTAATGATGATCGACGGACAGCTAGTCTCTGAAAGGATGATAGCAGCTGTCCTCATAGCCCTGCACTAACATGACTACTGATTAACATCTGCAAGGATCTGTGCTATTCATCAAATAGGTCAACTAACTGCCAAGTTGAATGTATAGAACCACAGCCTGCACAGACTGCAATGAGCTTCCCCTTTCATCATGACTTGCCTCTGACCTAATCATTCTAATCCTCCGTACAAAACCCTGTATTTGACGTTTTCAATATACTAGCTCAGCACATTATCATGAACTGCAGAGGGGTCTAAGGTGTCTAAGACTCAGAAGGACAAGAAAGGACATCGTCTAGCTCATTGAGAAAGCACCTGAAAATAAAAACAAACTATTCTTCTGCAAATAATATATGTACAGTTATTCCCCCAATTACCTGTATATTGGGAATAAAGAAATCGGGCAAAGGAGGAAAACAAAAACATCCATTGAGTCATGTGTGCTCCCACCTACATACAGCAGCTCTCAGTAGGGATGCGTAGAGTATTACAGAAAAACACTGGTGTTTCCTCTGTGTTGATCTGGTGCTGAAGTACTTTTTACAAACCCTTCTCTATTCTGTTATTTACACAGACTGAAACACTTGTCAGAATAAATTCCCATGTTCCCCAGGGTTCACTGGACTTTTAACTTGTAGCCTAACACAATTAAACTCACAATCTAGGAGCTTGGCACTGGCAAAATAAAAGTTTTGACCTATCTTCATGCAAAGTCTAGAAATATTTCACAACATGTTACTGTAGCCATATTCCGTTTGCCTTGTTTATTTCCCAAATTATATTTTCCAAAGCCTATTGAGCCTAAAAACTTGCAATGATTTGCATTCTGTGTGCACGCAGATCAAAAGTTTCTCCTGTTGTTCAGGATCAACATGAAACACAAAATACTTTTAGTAAGATTGTGACTTCTTTACCATATGTCCTATCTGACTATGACTGACCACGGTTATTTCACTACAAAATGTTGTATTGCTTACTTCATCTACACCTGCTTTATTTTACTTTGAGTGCACCACTAAACCCTGGCACAGTATCTTTACAACATGTACGATATCATATATACCAGACAGACATCGATTCCAATTCTGCAGCGATTTTTGCCAGTTTAAATGCATTTATTTGGTGATTTGTTCACATTTATACACATGAGATTAAGCTGGTCCAGCACTGAGCCCATATCAAGTCTAGACTGTTTAAATATAGTGCAGAAATGTACAGCACCTACATTATTGCAGCCTGGAGACCTGATGAACTGTCAAAACTAAAATTTGCTGTTTCAATTTCAGAGGCACCGGAACTGGCAAAAATACTTCGATTTATTGTGTCTAGGAAGAATTGACTGGTGAAACTAGTTTTGCTTTGTCAGTTACCTTAATCAAGCTGACAACTACTATGTGACTGAAATACCTGCTTGAAAATTTATATTCAGTCAGCAGAAAGGAGGCCTGGTTGTCTCCCATCCTATAATGGAAAATGAACTCTAAATCTCCCACCAGTGCTCACAGTTATACCCTCACCAACACTGCCTGAAAGACATAATAAAATATAAACTACAGACTCCAAACGTAGCTGTAAAGTAGAATCTCCACACATCTGTGATGGCATTTATTGCACGACTGTTGGATTTAATTTTAAGGTGTTTGTGTTAATTCATGCAGCTCTCTTTTCAAACCTTGACCTGTATGAAAAGAGGCTCATACCGCTTGAAACCATAAAGTACATGAAGGCTGTTGCATCCAGATGGTAGAAGGTTAGAATATAAAAATCTTCGATCTGTTTGAATTACACACCAACAAACTGATTTCATAGAGTGGGTACAAAAAGGACCATTATTTATGCCAAGTAACGACTCGTATCCTCAATGTTTTATTGACACAAAAGTTGTTTTCACAGGAACTTAGCCTGAGCTGTGTTGGCAAGTGATTACAATTAGCTAGTGGCATCAAAGCAGTGGGGTCAAAGTGGGACAGTATGAAAGGGACAGACAGCTCAGGGAAATCAGCTGCAGCAGTGTTTGGTTGAAGAAAAAAAAAATTCTTTGTTTTCCAGAGCAAACTGCATGACACCCAAATATAGAGCTCAGATACTTGCTGTGAATATTTATCCCAAAAAGAGAAAGATATAGAAAGAAAAGGCAACGAATAATCACAACAGCCAAAGCTTCAGAAAAGACTGAGGCTCCTTTGCTATGAGATAATGCAAAGAGTGAACAGAATCAAGGGCATAGGAATGGCTTCATGTGACTGAAATCACCTAACAGTTACTTCCAAAAGTCTTATTTGGGTTGGAGAAACATTAAAGAGGACAGTGGAAAGAGGGAGGGAGGGAAAAAAGAGGGGAAAATGAATAAGGGAACGTCTGAACTCCCCTCAAATCTCATTTAGGCCACAACAATCAGGGCAGTGAAATCAAGAAAATCTCTTACATGCAGAAGGCAGCCACTAGACCACCAGGGACACTGTTATCAGTACTGTCCTCCAGGCCTGTTGCTGCAATATGGCTGGAACTCCCAACAGAGACCTCCACAGTGGAAAAAACATTAGGACATAATTATACATTAAATTGGATTACAATCTTTTTGTAGTGTAAATCTACTCAGTAAAATTAGTTTAGGTAGTGTTAGCTCCTTCCATCTGTCTGAGCATCCGTGTATTTTCTAAAATGCTTATCATGTCCAGGGTCACAGGTGGTGGAAGCTATTCAGGCTGTGTTCTCACCAGTCAGGCCTCTGTCGGGCAACAACAGTCACCACAGATTCTGAGGTCAATCAATAAATCTGACCGATTACTCTTGAGGTTCTGAGGAGATCAATGTGCTAAGAGCACCTCAGGGAAATGTCCTTTGACAGTCTACTACCCAAGTCCAGTTGAAAATGACTTGGTACAGCTGTGTCCTCAGCTCCCTTCTCTCTATTTTCAGTTTATGATAAGCATTTTAAAGTCAACCTTACCTTTTCTGTACAGTCAAAACCTTACAGGAGACACTGCACTAGCTCAGTGATCTTAGTGATCTATCAAGCTGCAGTGAAATACACAAATCCAGCCTATTACTCTCATAAGCAGTTCCGCGTACACTGACCTCTGATAAGATCAACTCAGCTCACCTCATTTCATGGAAGAATACCTCAGCCATCAGTACACGACTCAACCCAACACCAACACCCTCACTAAGAGCAGTTGCCTCCTTAAGGGCTTTCCCATCCATCACCCACAGGGATGCTGGCCTATTAGTGGTACCGTTTCTTCTTCTACTCTAGACATTAGCACATGCATTTATCCTTTTTTCCCCACCACACTAAACTGCTGTGACATGGTTCATACTCGCCTTTCATTTCCACAGGAAACCCAGTCTTTTTGAAAAGATAAAACATTTAAACAAAAAAAAAAAGACAAATTAATTACAGAATAAAATTGATGCTTAATTCCAGTTGACCCTGATCCCTGTTACTGCTCAAACAATTCCAGGTCAACAGTTGAAACTATGGTACATGTGTGTCAACAAAATTGGAAATTATATTTTTTACAACACAGTCCTTTGACAATAAATGTAATTTATATACGTTTACCTAATCTACTAGCAGTCCTCCATAAAACCGGCCAATACACACAAAGGCTGCCAAATACTTTGCAATAAAAAGGATTGAAGCATTGAAACATATTTTTCTGTGCAATAACTAATGAGGTTTTAAAAAAATACACTTAGAAACAGAGTCAAGGCCTTACTGGAGTGCTGTTAAATTATGACAAAGTTCTGATTATTTCAAAACCAGAAAAAAAGTTCGAGTAATTCAACTTTTACAGCATGCCATTTCCATTTTCTTGTGCTTATCGATGACTAGGAAGAACCCTGATGAAGGCCAACACTAACTGGGAAGGTGTCTGACTTCTTGTCGAGGATGCAGACAACTCTCACTCTGGTTATACAGCATGTGTCTTCCATAATTATGAGCAGCGCAGACCATTCCTAAATATTTCACTTTAATGTGACGAAACCCTTTCTAATCCACTCAACATGGCAAGCAGCTGACCAAAGCAGAATCAAAATTATTAATAAATGATTTAACACCATCAGTTCTTGTCATCTTACCTAGCACATTTAAACATGCAGCAAAGTTTCATTTAGATATAGGCTAATGGATGTCATGTTTTCACTTTACATACGTTTTTTTTTTTCAGAAGCTGCAGGTATGACGTTTCATAGCATGTCACCCATTTTTCTAATGTTAAAGTCAAACAAACACAGATCAGGGAGAAACCACAATTAAAAATGTTTTAAATATGTAAAAGCATATTGATGCGCTTAGCAGAGCAAGTCAGACTTTTTATTGTAATTTAAGGTATGATGGCAAATGTTTTTTACTATCCAAATAATGATAGTTTTTCTATTACTGTGGCTACTGATTCAACTAAGGGCTCATTTACTTCAAGCGATTGTCAGGTTTGCCCGGCTGCACCTACTTTCTCACTCCCCTCACTCTGTTTTCACTCCCTTACCCTGATTACGTTATCAGGCCACCTGGGTCAGCCACCTGGGTCCGTCAATTTTTTGTGACTCGCTCACTTCTGTATCCTAACAGCGATACCCTCCATGATTTTCTTGCAATGATACACAGCCAGGATAAAGATAAATGCCAAGTCAATCTGTTACAAATGTTCTACGAATAGTAGAGAAATTTTCTAATGGATTACTGAAGTAAAAATTCAAACAGTTTTAAACCTCCTCAAACAATACCTTCACTCACAGCACCTGAAACTGGCACACACCCTACTGTGTTTGTAGACCGCAGAACAAAGGATCAGCTAAAACCCGACATTTAGGGTGACTCCACCTTACAGAGGACTCCAGGATGAGCTGCTCTCCCTGACTCTACTACTACAGTGCTTTCTGCATGAGTCATGCAAACTCTTGATTCTCATCATGAGCTATGGACTCCCTCTGAATCCAAATGACATGTGTTTTGTATGAAGACTGTGACATATTCCTACATGTGAGCAATGCTTTTGTGCTCCCCACAGCGTGCTACTGTGTGCCAGGCTCAGACCCATACCCACGTGCTGCAACGACAATGATGCAACAACAATGACAGGGCTCCCCGTCCCGTCATTATGGCACTGTCTTTGACAATGATTTACCGAAACAAACAAGGCGCAAGCATGCAGCATATGAGAATGACACAAGCAACAACCTACTGAAATGCACAATAATCTAATATTTACTGACAAAGACCCTGTAGGTGCTAAACATAAATGAAATAATAAAAAGTAGAAGTTAATACTGACCAGAGCCCTGTACCATGAACCAAGTTCAACTTAGTTTAGCTAATTTGGGGTTACCTGGCTTCATTGTGCCTCCAGTAGATCCAGTAGAAATGAACAGTTTTTCCAGTGATCTGACTGGTCCTCTGAAGTTAATCTGCTATAGAGCAGGTTAACCATGCAGCATAAGTTATTGTGGTGATCTAGCCTGATTGAAAGTGAGCCAGCTTCGTGGTACAGGAAAACCTGAGCTGAGCCCAAAGTTAGCTGGATAAACCACTAATCTCGCTTTGTGGCACAGGTCCCAGGTCTCACTAAACGACAAGAGAGAGCACTGCCATTACATCACTCCTGAAAGTAATGGTACATACAGGACCTGAATCTACAGTAAAATCTGCAAACTCAACTCCCATCTGAACTCAGCACTGTTGTATATTCCTTGTTTTACATAAAGCACATTGATCTGGCATGACTTGCAGCAGGTGTTTTAGTATTCTACTCTTCCTTCTCACTCACAGCGAGTCTGCTGCTGCTGCAGCAGCAGTGAGCTGAGCTGTGCAACACAACCTGTTGGTTACAGCCTTTTAATTTTCCATCACGTTCTCCCACTGTGTAAACTCAACATGTATCACCACTCAACAAGAACATTTACTTTGTCTAGCAAATATCTCCATACACGGATGCGATCGCAAACTGGTTTAAAAACAAACAGTGAGGAATACAAAACCATTATGAGAACAGAAGGATACATGTAACTGATCAGTTCAAACACAGTACTTATCATAATAATCCAATGACATCCTCAGCTACAATTACACCTTGTGCATTTAAAAGGCCATCGTGTCATTTATAAAGTTTGTTGTTTACTTATGCTATTAAACTTGCAATTGAATTGACTTTTGTCATTTACAACAGATTCCAATGCCTAGTTTTAATATAGGAAAACATTTCAAAATAACCACATAAACCTACTGAAAACCATCCAGAACCTGAGATTTTGGAGTAACCTGAGGAAACACATTTCCTCCATAATGAGTAATGTATGAACAGGAGACAATTGGATTGTGCCGTGGAAACTTATCACCAGAGGAATCCATTTAACTAACATACCTTTCAGGCCTACAGAGGGTGAGTGACTGATTATCAAAATGCCAATTTTGGGTCAAGCATCACAAAGGGTGCCTTTTACTTTCAGTCACTAAAAAACATGATAGAAATTACGTCACTTTCAGCTTTTCCCGTTTAGGGGTCGCCACAGCGAATCGTCACACTGACGACTCGCATGTTGACATTTGGCATGTTTTGTTTTTTTTTACGCCGGATGCTCTTCCTGATGCAACCCTGATTCGAACTCGGGGCACAGCGGCGAGAGCGCTGCCCCTTAACCACTAGCCTACCAGGGACGGCTTAGTCACCAAAAAACAGGATACTTGTTTGAAATGGGGAAACTGTACTCTTATAACCATGTGTTATGTATTTTTCAAATAAACATTAAACACTGTTCTCCTTTTGCTTTGTCTAACGGGTGCAAGTCCATACAAATGGAAAGCATTGAGCATGCTGTGATGAAAACTCTTTCAGGTCACTACATCTTTCCTGAGGTAGCTACAGGGATGATGGCCATCATTCACTTGGTATGAGTGTTCTGATAAGCTTTAATTTCATGTTTGAACTGCATTCTCTTGCTCATACAGTATGTTTGTGTTGCTTTGCTAATCAAGTAATACATTTCCACCAAGAGAAGTTAAAGTGTAACCTGCAGCTTCCTTAACCCAACAAAACTTGAAGGACTTACAGTATATGGTTGGTTCTGATTTGCTTTTCCACTGTATTTTTCTTTGGGTCAGTCAATGTTTATACAAGGGTGGAGCTGCGCTTCTCACACAGACACACAGCTTGAGGAGAGGACTTTGAGTCGATAACCACAGTGCTCATTAATCATACCTGCAACAAAATCAACCAGGACAAAAGGGTACAAGTTCAATTACAGGTCGATAAGTTCCTAAAGGTGGAAAAAGCCTAACAGATGGTAACAACCCAGTACTGAACTACAAAGCTGCATCTAGAGTTCATCTATGTTTAGCCTGCAAATACAGCACACTTTCAATAATTAGTAAGGGCCTGATTCCCTCACTTGCACTAAGATCAACCAACTTACAAACATGGCAGCACCAGCTTTTAGCAGGATGAACATTGGAGGCGAGTAGAATGCATCTGATATTCAATACTGCATATTTAGTTTCTGCATCAAGTCTGAATGTCCTGTGCTGACCCACAGGAATAAAATACTCATATGGTGTTTTGATTTATTGAATGAAAAAAATGAGTACAAATATCTGTATTGCTTCCTGGACAGGACTGACTCACATCAGTGTTATCATTATTCAGCTATTATTATTATTCAATTCAAATGTATTTGTATAGTGCCAAATCACAACAAAAGTCATCTCAGGACACTTTACAAAGTAAGGTCTACACCTTACTATTAATTGAACTAGTTTTAAAATGGAGCTCTGTGGGCATACATGCAGTTATGCAGTGACTTC